CAAAAATTCAGGAGCAAACGCTAAATTCATTGAAGATCAGCAGGTTCTGCAATGGCTGTACTATTTGCGAAAGCGACAGAGATTACATGTAAGTTTGGAGGATTTCGTATAAAGCCAGAAACGTTGTGTTTCACTAGCGTGAATGTGAAAAATATACGTGAAAAAGGCCTTATTCATTCGTCATAATTCAATTTCTCCAGTAAATCTTTTTTTGTTCGTCCGTCTTCTTTGTCGTTTGCTCCCGGTTCTTTTGTCCACATTTTTAACAATCCGATAGTCATTATGTTGCTGCTTACCCTGCTCAACAGGCTGCAGTTGCCTTCTCATAGACTAGACACAACGATTTCTGAAGAATGGAACTAAAACTCATGAAAGCTAGAGTTTTAATGAATTCCTTTGACTTCATCAGCCGCATTCATGACGGTGAGAATCATAGCGGGTTGTTGTTGGCCTTGTTAGGGTTTTGCGATATGCTAGGGAGTCATGACGTGAATTTTGGTCTGGACAGGTATCGTGTGCATAGGCTTACTTCCAGCCCTATTATTAACACTTTTGATGTTTTTTATGCCTGTTACGCTTCAGTTCTATTAATGTAATCTTTGGCTCTCACTTTTAGCCCTTCAATCTCTTTTGCCTTTTCTCTCCCTGTTTTCATGATCTTTCCTTTCAATTCTTTGCTGAATGAACAAGAACGTCGATCGAACGCGCTAGCTGCAGACTAGCTTTTGAATAAAGCAAATAAATGAAATAATTGACCGTTTATCTATGTGAATTCCATGGCCGCCCAGACCGTTCAAGTTTTATCGTTGGATATCATGCGGTCTCATTAAACACTCGTTCATTGTTGTAAGGTTGTTTGGAACAATAGGAACAACGAACTATGCCCTCTAAACAGAGATCCTCAACCTTTTCGCTAAGGAATGGTTTTGCATCCGTAGCATTACTAGTCAACTTCTAACTTCACAGTGGAGTTACCTTTTTGCCAAAAAGCTAATCAAAATGCAAATCCAAAATTTAGGATTTACTTTTTTAGTTTCTCACCCAACCCTTGTTTTAAGGTGAATCCTGAAGCAGCAGAGGACACTGATGAAAAGTCTCAAGAGGATACGGATGATGACATTGACGGGGACAGGCCGAACTCTGATATAAATTAGATGACCTTTGCGTGTTTATCATCGGCCACTAAGGCATTGCATTTTGTACATAGTTGCCATATCGGTATGTTACTTCTTTAAAACTATCACAATTTTTATTGAGCAAATACTTGTGTGAGTGAAATTAGAATTCTGAACATTATCGGCTTCTACTCTGTATATAAGACCTTATCTTGTTATGTTACTTCAATAAAACAATCACAATTTTTTTGAGAAAATACTTGTATTAGTGAAGTTAAAATTCTGAGGCTGATGTTACTAGCCTAATCCTTCAAAATAAGATCATATCTACTTTAATTGAGGGAAAGACATTTGGGGCTTCAACTCTGTGAGACTCTCGTTCCAGTACTGCGTGATGGTTTTCCATTGCGTGTAGAAATTGATTCCGGCCTGGATGTATTTCAATCATTTGATTGTTTAACTAATAAGGAAATTATAATGACTCACTTTTCCATAGAAATTCATGTCTCCTCTAAATGAACCACGAGATCCAGTGAAAGAGAACATAGGTAGAGGGACAGGAATAGGTACGTTCACACCAATCTGGCCGCAATCCACCTCATTCATGAACCTATTCAGAGCTTTGAGAACCGGTGCGGATAAAATCAGAATTTAAAGCTTACTTCCTGGCGGTAGCGCCGTTTAACGTGAAAATGGCGGTTCCGTTTCCATATGGGTTGCGATTGATAATATCGATAGCATCGTCCAGGTTTTCGGCCTCCATGACAACTAGAACTGGTCCGAAGATCTCCTCCTAAATTGTTTGCTCATGGAATGTACCTCTAACCATTGAGCTGTAATCTTACTAAAAAAGAGTGCCCGTACGAAGGGACACTTTCAATAGCACTGATAGAAACGAGAACTACAAGAACCTCCGCAATCGTACCTTATAGCAGGTCATGTTTGGCTTCACGCCTGCAATGACCGATGCCCCAACGAAGTTGCCGTTCTCAAATCCAGGAACAACTATGTTGCTTCCATCAAGCATGACATTGGCGCCCTCCTGAACTATTTGCCTAAGTAAGTGGATTTGATGCCGTTCAAAAGGTAAACCTTCTTTGCTCCTTGGATGAGACCTACGACGCGCTGCTTTGCAGCCTTCGATATTAATGGGCCAATGTCGGTTTCTGGTTTCCAGCCTTAACAAGCTGGATCTTTTCAATGGAACGAGATCTTCGAAAATGACTGATTTTCAAAACGAACCGGCATTAACGTGGAGTTTCTTGGCTTTCTCAACAATCTCGGGCAACCAAGAACGAGCCTCTCCGACCAGGATGGCCGTCGTAAGTGCCATACAACGCTGTCCTGCTGCTCCAAATGCAGCAGCTGTCAACTGAACAACACCATGGCTTTAGAATTAGTTTACTGGGGCTATAACTGATATGGTTGTAGTTATTTCCCATACGAATTTCACAAGAAGGGGGTATGACTGCTAGATGAATGCTGTTTATGCTCCAGTTCGCTTGCTTTTCACTTTTTTTGCTTTAGAAATGGTTACATGGCTTTCAAAGCAACTGAACTGCCTAATAATAGTAAGAGGAGAAAATACCTGATTGAGAGTTTGCTCCTTGTTGCAATCAGGCATAATCACTCCATGATTTTTGGCTCCCATGTTCGACTGAACACGCTTGCCATTGCGAGCTCCACGTTCATAGATGTGTTTGCCCTAGAATGATCTGTGAAAGAGGGATGTCAGACGTTTATTATTTGTTGCAGAGTGGTGTAGCCTTCGTAAAAGCCTCTAGGAAGCCCCTCTGCCATTGGAACTTTATAAAATGAGAAAATGAAGAGTCGAGTGGAGAACCCACTGCTTGATCAGCTCCAACGAAAGAGATTGCTTGAATATCGGGATGATCGCAAATAAAGTTCACAGTGTCGTGTTGACCATGAATCACGTTGACGCACCCATCGGGAACCCCAGCTTCCTGAAAGGCAGAGCAGTAGCTGGTTACGAATACTATCCATGCGCAACCACTCCTACCTTAGCTAGCTCGACCAGCATCATGCAGGCTCCAGGATCTTGTTCCGATGGCTTGATCACCATAGTGTTTCCAGTGGCGATCGCCAGGGGGAACATCCACAGAGGGATCATAGCCGGAAAGTTGAATGGGCAAATACCAGCAGTGACTCCCAATGGAACGCGGAATGAGAATGTATCCATATCGCGTGATACACTAAAGTCCAGTCCGTTCAGCAAGTGCTAGGGGAATGGTGGAATTTCGAGAAAACCTGACTTTGGAAGGGTTTCTCCAAGCATAAGTGATGGCACTGAGCACGCATGTTCAACAACCTTAAAACTCAATTCAGAAGTGATTAAGATTTATCGCATCGTAACGATTTTAATTGTGCTGAGAGGAACCTGAAGCCCTCTGTTAACATCTCCCTCAGCATCGGGCAGTGTCTTTCCTTGCTCTTGGGTGATGTTGTCGGCAAGCTTCTTGATATCACGCTTGATGAGAGCTTGAAGACGGAACAGAGTCTGCTGACGCGTCAAAGGAGAACTGAATGGAAGGATAAGAAAAAATGAAGGGAATGGAGAAAAAAATGAATTGAACAGAACGGAGAACCTACGTATTCTTCCACGTGCTGAATGCCTTCTTACACGATTCAACAGCTGTCGCCATTTCAGACTGTGTGCATTTGGGAACTCGAGCAATGACTTCATTTGTAGCCTAAATCGGACAAAGACCTTGAGATTAGCTTTGAAAGGATAGAGAATTTCTGAATTTCCACATCTCCCGTTTACATGAGCAGAGTAGTAGAGGGCGCAGGACTACTAATAGAAGGTCATTTTGATTCGAGTACTTTCACTATAACAAAACCCATTCATCTTAAAGAACTTCTTCTGATTACAGTCCATGGAGAAAAGGTAGGTTGAGTGGAGGATGACGGGCTAAGTGTTCGGGTATAATGAGAAGGAAAAAGAAGCTGGAGAGGGATGAGAAACGGTAGTTCATTCATTCCATTCCCTTCCATCCATTCTCTTTCACAGTTTAGAAGATACCTCATCGAATGTTAATTCATGTGAGGTGATCCTTGGCAGATCAGTGACGAGGCTACATGGCGTACCGTACCCCATAAGGAGGGAATAAGTCGCAAACGAATAGTCACCAGTACTTGCCCAGAAGCGCAAATGCATTAAGGGGATAGGCTCGGTTTTTGCTGAGTTCGATTGGTCTAAATTTTTCGTTACCCTTGGAGGTGAATCTATGCATGCGTGTATAGATGGTCCGCAGGTGCCGTAGTTATCCTTCACATCGTCTCAGGCAAAAACTGCGTTCGGGTGACTAGAAAGTAACAATCAGGCGACTCGTGTTTGCTTTCAATATATAAGCCCATTCGCTACTCCGAGATGACCTGACTACCTACCAGACGTCTATCTCACCCTTACACCGTAGCCTGAAAAACTGCTCGTGGGTAACCAAATGCAGAAAACAGTAATATAAGTGAGTCTCATTCCCCTGAATCTGAGATCGCCATCAAAGCGGAGCGATGCATATGACTGCTCGGGAGAGGCTGCTGAAATTCTAGGACCATAAAGGAACCTTCAAGGAAGAGGATTAAAATGGTTCCTGTACATTGTCCGCTGAACGCAGTTCTTGAGGCCGGAAAACGACTCTCTGTTCTGTTCTCTAAGAGATGCGACGGTGTAGATGTCCTCGTCAACACGACATCAGCCATAAACATCGGTTAGAAAGCTTGAAGCTTGACAATCCGAACATGAGGATGGGTTGAAAAGATGTTAGCCCAACCTTAAAAATCCTCGTTGCCTATGCACCAATATTAAGCTCCGAGGGGAAGATCACGAAGAATTTTATATGAACAGGAGGTTTTTCAGAGGGGATCATACTCTCTTTGGAGTCATTGTCGGCGGGCTGGCGCGATTGTCAGACTTCTTCATGGAAGCTTTGAACGAAAACTGTGCTCCGCCTCGGGTCTCTGAAGCGAGGACGATTCGCTAGGCTACGCTGGTTCCCGCATGGCGAATGGAGACGTTACTGACGCCCACTTGAGAAAATCTATGATTAACGGGACATATGATACAGATGAAAAATGAATGGTTTTGTTTAGTCATTGAGGCCTACTTAGGTTTCCACGTTATCAGCGAGAATACGTTATGATCGCTCTTCTCTATCAGATTCCGGCTACTTGGGTGTAGTAGAAGCTTGTTTAGAGATGGCAGCAGGAAGAGATGAATGATTATGGAGGTTGAAAATGGATGAAAATGATGGATGGAGAAAAAGCGATGCTGTAACTAACAAATGATACTGCAGAGCCACATAATGAGTAGGTATGAGACGAGTAAGAAGAGGTAAACACGCAATGCGACTTGATGCAAGGCTATATTTTTGCTGAATGGAACGCCTTTTTATTTCACTTAATTCTAGTTGTCTTACTCACGGGGTTGGTCAGTTCGATCCAGTCATTGGTCTTTGATTCGACAGGACGACCATCTATCCACATTTTCACCGTCTTGTCGGCAAGAGCTGCTCTACTCGTAGAAATGCGAGCATATTGCTGACCAACGGCAAATGCCTGTAAATAAGATTACATTATTCGACAGATCACAAGAACTACCTACACCATGGTATCCTTATTATGAAGAAAAGGCGGAGAGGTCTCAACGATTTTCTGCAAACGTCAGGTGGGTAGCATCCATCGATTGAGCTTCTTATCACAAATTACCTTGGCTTTTAACACTATTAGAGGCATTTTGCAAACCACCAAAGGAGTTTGAAACTTTTTACTCGCGGCAAATCACATTTGCTGATCCCAAGCCTTACAACATGCTTCCCCGAATGGTGACGTATACATGTTCATAAAGTGGGTACACACAATATTGTAGTACAGTAGCAAGTCTCTCGTGATCACCCGCATATACTCTTAAAGGCAAAGTTCACCATAAAAATGGTTTCTGAGATTTCCTCATGAATGCGACAGTGAAAGGCAGTCCTGTACAGTTCTGCCTTGATGTAGTCAGCTCTTTGTGCAATTGCAATAACTGAAATCTCGTTCGAATACCCCTTCCATGTTATTTCCGTCATGGTAATCTCGCCCACCTTTACTTTCCCACCTTAAAAGGAGCCATATTTCTTCACTCCCAATAAACTATTCCCAAGCTATACTTCCGCTTTTCCAGTAAGAACGGATACCTTAAAATCATCGTGAACTGTGCCTGTAGTTCTTTTCAAGTACCAAGCATCCTCCTATTGTGTAATCTAATGCAATTCTTCCAGCTCTATATAGCACAATCATCAATTACCAAAATATGCGGTGTGGCACCTATGACTGACAATTCTACAAGCATTTAGTTTTTCTATTCTTTGAGTGCTCGTTAGAAAAAAAGAAGAGTAAATCGATATTGTTTGCTGTGTTTGATGCCGAGTATTATATTTACAGTGTTTACCATGGATGCCATCACTCAGCGGGCAGTTTCTTGAGACTAAAGATCAATCAAACAAAAAATAATTTTTTGATGAAAGGAAAATGCTCGGATGAAGCGGTTGAGCCACTACCACTGGTAATTTCAATGCCGGATCCCACATCTGCACTCGTTCCACTTCACAGCCCCCCCCCCC